CGAACCACCATGGAGCGAGGGGAAGGGGGGCGGGGCGCTGATGTACACTGCCAGGGGGCGTGGCCGCGTACGTCAGCGTTACAGACGCACAGACACTGGGCTACTATATAGATGATAACTTAGTCTGCGTCTCCCCAGCAGGCCGTTATTTCGAATTACTGTCAAGGGGAGGACTTCTTCCCCCGGCTCCCGTAAGCCTCACCGTGCACTTCCAAAGAAGTGCTCTTACGCTCCCAATTTTGACATAAGCTCCGCAATCGACGTAGCTCAGTTTGTGTGGCTTATTGTGAGCTACGCCCTGCTGTGCACCCCTACGGAGCTATCCCCCAGCAGCAAGTACCCCCATCTGCACAGACCCTCTCCTGCCTCCTCCTGCCCCCCAGCTCCTTGCTAGACCCCACTGCTGCCATGGAGAGTGCAGGGCCTTCTGGGCCCTGTAGGGCGGGTGGGCTGTAAAATGCTTCCTCTCCAATGCTGCTTCCTCCTTGGTCCTGACGCCCCAGAGGTGGGAGCTGCTGGGCCACTCACATCTGCAGTGTCAGAGGCGGCAGGAGTGGGCAGGGGGTGACTCACAGTGGGGACGGGGAGATGGGTGGGGAGCCAGGCTAAGTGCCAGGCTAAGTCAGGGACTGAGTAGAGAGAGGGATTCCCCCTCTGAGATGCTAGTTTGTGAAATGAGGTGGAAAAATCCCCCCAAATTCTTCCTTTTACACCTTAATCCAGCCCCCGAATCACCCACATGTAGCCTTGTTTCTAACGTCAGTCCTTCCCCGATTCACGGCAGAGATTTCACAGGGGTGCCTGCTACTGGTGGGTAAATGGGAGAGGGGGCAGACCCACGTGGTGGAGCGCAGCAGAGAGCTAAGGGGGCGTGGATAGCACTGAAGTTTAGTGCCGTCCTTCCACGCTGAGCTCGAAGCTGCTTTGCACGGCAGGTTTCAACGCTGATTTTGCTGTGTGCACACAAACAGGCCGCGAGTATTTACAGCCAGGCCAAGCAAAGCCAATGTCAACGAAGAATTTCTTTGTGCCAAATCCAGCACGTTGGACTTTTGAACTAGGCTTGTCCCACACACAATAGGCCGGATTTGTTGCTGGAAGGCTGGGTCCTAGGTGTATTTTATGTGGCGTTGACACTCGGTGTTGTAAAGATTTCTAAAGCTGTAGCTGCTTACATCCCGACATCGAGCGCCCTCTGGCAAAACCCCCGACTAACCGCCCCGCAGGGTCTCGCGACTGCACGTTGAGAGATAAAGGCATCGTAAAAAAAAGCTTCTGAAGAACCATCGACTGTTGTTGGTCGGAAGGTTCTGAAAAGGAAAAATGGAGTTTTGCCGACGTGCATCTAGCTGGGCTTCACAAGCGGCGTTTTTTCTGGTAAACATCGATTTCAACGTCCACACACACCGGGATGGAAAAATTGTCCCTTGAGGATAACTGGCATTTACCCAGGCGAAATAAGAAGACGGATGCTTGAGAACGTCGCGGTGTTTGAGTCAGGATACGGACTTTGCATATGTTCCACAGCGGCATTTGTTTAAGGGTTACAAACCATTCACTGTTTGGATCCCTGTCTCTGCTCTCAGGAGGAAATTATTGGCCGACCCTGCTCATCTCTCTCCCCCCCAGGGAAATCGATACACAGCACAAAAAAACCCAGTTTTAACCCCACAATTTTGTGCAAATGTGAAAATTTTCAGGGATAAGAATCGAGAAAAAATACGTGAAAATAAACATTGATCTTGGCTATCGAAATGATAAAGACAGAAAGACTGAATTCTGCCGAGGCTGCTTATAGAGGGGGGCAGAGTGAGGGGTTTTGCCTCTCGCAGACAGGGCTGGCCCCAGTGGTTGCTTTGTTAGAGGGGTCAGTTTGGGGCTTTCTCCTGACACGTGAAGGAACTCTTCCCTGACCAGCAGGGCTGGCCCCAGTGCCTAAGTGTGGCACTAGGGGGCACTGTGCTGCAGGGGGTGGGGTGGGGGCTCTGCAGCCCAGCAGTAGGGGGCGCTGTGGTTCATGGGGCAGGGAGCGGAACAGGAAGGTGCCCAATTGCCCATGCTGGCTCAGTCTAGACCTGCCCTCAGCCTGGGCCCACGTCTGCCCCATGTGAGCCCAGCTCGAAGAGGACGAGGGTCCCCTGGCCTGCGCTGGGACATCAGGGAGCCCTGCCTGCTGGGGTGGCCCCCACCCCCCTGCTCCCTGCCTATCTCCCACCCGTGCCCGGACTGTGCCCGCCCCTGCACAGCCAGGGAGAGGAAAGCAAAAGGGCTCGGAGGCTGCTAACCAGCCCCAACACCTGCAGGGGGAAGTCTGGAGCCTCCCTTGGAAGTGCCCTGGTGCCCAGCCCCCCAGCGTGCCCCAAGGGACACACAGAAATCTCAACTCCTCCCCCCGCCACTTCCCCTTTCACAGGACTGGTACCTCAGCTCCCTCCCAGCCAGACGGGCCCCGGGAGCTGCCGCAGCAGGACATGCTGTAAGGTAATTGCAGCTTCTCCTGCTAACAGGAGTGGGGGCTAGTGGTTAGAGCAAGAGGCAGGGCGCCAGGACTCCTGGGTTGTATCCGGAGCCGTAGGATGGTTCAGGAGGTTGGCCTGGCCTGTTGGCTGCCGTCCCAACCATCCTATGGGCGGTACAGCCCCCCGCGCTGTTAGCCTCCTGCAGGGCCCAGAGCAGCCGGGGGCATTACCAGGGAGGCCTGGCATGGGCAGTAGCAGAGGCTGGGCCCTGCAATCACCATGGCAGCAGGCGCCATGGGCAGCGTGCCCAGCAGCCCAGGCCGCTCTGCGCTCTCCCAGCCAGGCCCCCGTGCGTCACCGTGGCGTCGGGCAGCAAAGAGCCCTGTCCGGCCCCAGCCTGATGCCCTTCCCCGAGTAACACAGGGCTCAGGGAACGCAGCGGGCTGGGCCGGGGCCCCCGCTTCCCAATGCCATGGTGAGTGCAGATGATGGGGGGACCCCGGCTGCCCTCTCACACCAGCCCCCTCAATGTCACCCCCCAGGGCGTGTAGCTCAGGGAGGGGGCTCTGAGGAGGGTACCAGGAGGCAGAGCAGGGGCGGGAAGAGGCGGGGCTGGGCGGAGCTGGGGAAGGGAGGAGCAGGGGCTCTGTACTTTGGCAGGGCCATGGGGTCTAGTGGCTAGAGGAGAGGGGTGAGGGACAGAGAGGGCCAGGCTGGGTCAGACCAATGGTCCATCCAGCCCCGTGTCCTGTCTGCCCACAGTGGCCAATGCCAGGTGCCCCAGAGGGGGTGAACAGAACAGGGAATCCTGATGTGATCCCTCCCCTGTCTCCCATTCCCAGCTTCTGACAGGCTAGGGACACTCTCCCTGCCCATCTTGGCCAATTGCTGTTGAGGAACCTATCCCCCATGAATGTACGTAGCTCTTTTTTGAACCCTGTTATGGTCCTGGCCTTCACCACATCCTCTGGCGAGGAGTTCCACAAGTTGACTGTATGTTGTGTGAAAAAATGCTTCCTTTTTCTTGTTTTAAACCTGCTGACTGTTCAGTGCATGTGATGGCCCTGGTTCTTGTGTTATGGGAAGGAGTAAATAACTCCTCTTTATTCACTTTCTGCACACTGGTCATAATTGTACAGTTCTCCATCACATCTCCCCCATTTCCTCTTTTCTAAGCTGAAAAGTCCCAGTCTTATTCATCTCCCCCCCCAATAATGTTTGTTGCTCTGTTCTGAACTTTTCCCATTGCCAAGATACCTTTTTTGAGATGAGGCGACCAGATCTGTAGGCAGTATTCCTGGATTTACAGAGGCAATACGGAATTCTCTGTCTATACAGAGGCAATAAGATATTTTCTGTACCATTCTCTTTGCTTTTCTTGCTGTCGCTGCACCCTTTGGTTCCTGTCTTTTAACCGGTTATCAGATCATGTGAGGCCTTCCCTCTTATCTCATGACCACTTACTTTGCTGAAGAGCCTTTGGTGAGGGACCTTGTCAAAGGCTTTCTGGAAATCTACGTATACTATAGCCACTGGATCCCCCTTGTCCACCTCTTTGTTGACCCCCTCAAAGAATTCTACATTTGTGAGGCAGGATTTCCCTTTACAGAAACATGCTGACTTTCCCCAACACATAATGTTCATCTATGAGTCTGACAATTCTGATCTCACTGGCCTGTAATTGCCAGGATCACCTCGGGAGCCCTTTTTAATAATTGGTGTCACATTAGCTGCCCTCCACTCATCAGGTGCAGAAGCTGATTTACAGGCTAGGTTACAAACCACAGTTCTGCCTTGTTACTGTTCAGTTTATCAATTGATTCTAAAACCCCCTCTAAGGGCACCTCAGTCTAATGTCACCTCCGCTTGGGCAGTTCCTCAGATTTGCCACCTACAAAGAATGTCTCAGGTTTGAGACTCTCCCTCTCGCCTTCAGTTGTGAGGAATGATGCAAAGAATCCATTGAATTCCTCTGGGACGGCCTTATAGGTGGGGGCATTAGGGGCTGCTGTGCTGTAGGGGGCTTGGTGCCAGGACTATGGGGTCTGAGCCGCAATGAGGTGCCAGGGGACACTGTAGTGCAGGGAGCAAGGCAGGGGCACTAGGGGGTGCTGTGCTGCAGGGGACAGACTCTAGGGGGCGCTGTGCTGCGCTACAGAGGGCAGTAGGTGGGCAGTGCTGCCAGGGGGTATAGTGAGAGTGAGGGCTCTAGGGGTTGCTTTGGGGCAGGGCAGGGGCAGACTGTGCCCGTTCTCACACCCTCTGCCAGCCCCTCATCTCAGCTGGCTCAGAGCCCAGAGGAAGTGGCAGCGTTTGTGCTACAAAAATACCCTGGCCAACGCCCGGCCAGCCGCCCTTGACGGGGGGAAACAGCTGCTCTGGGCCCAGGGCTGCTCAGCAGGGAAGGGACGTTCCCAGGCTCTTCACCCCTGAGTTCCCCAGGGGGAGTGGCCAAGGCCTTTGCCTCTGGGCTGTGCCAGGCCCGGCCTGCAGTGATGCCTGTGGCCTGACAGCAGGCGCCTTGGCGAAGAACTGAGAAACTGAGGCACAATCTCATAGAGCTGTAAGGGATCTTGAGAGGTCATGGAGCCAATTCAGTCCAGTCCGCTGCCCTCATAGCAGAGCCAAACACCATCCCTGACAGATTTGCCTCAGTTCCCTAAGCGGCCCCGTCAAGGACTGAGCTCACAACCCTGGGTTTAGCAGGGCAAGGCTCAAACCACTGAGCTCTCCCTCCCCCTAGCAGGCTTCTGATGCTCTAACCGCTGGACCCCACTCCCCACCCGCAGCCAGGAATAGGACCCGAGTCAGGGATCTCAGCCTTCAGCCCCTAACTCAGTGGTCCCCAACCTTTCGGGGCTGCTGGATGCCCGGGGGTGGGGCTCCGCATGCGCCACATGCCCGGGGGTGAGGCCGCTCATGCACCACGCGCCCAGGGCCCGGGGTGCAAGAATGGCTCAGGCCAGCCCTGGTCACTCGGCGGGTGCACAGAAATACCCACGGGCACCGCATTGGGGACCACTGCCCTAACTGAACAAAGGCCTAACTGGTCTGAGGCCCTGTGCTCAGACCCCTGCCCAGCAGGGTGTGTAGCTGTCCCCATGTTGAGCTGCCTCCCCTATGTAAATGTGATACCCCCTTGCATCGCCACCACGTGCACAAACCCAGCCGGCAGCTATTTCCCCGGGTGAGTTAGAGTGGGGGGGG